CTTCAGAATCACGTTAATGATAAGATTCTAATCAGTATGGCGTAACTTTGAAATACCAAATTTGCTATACAAGACTGAGATCTTGCAGGTAAATTTTTGGTGTTCATTTAAAAATGTACGATCATTTCAGACAAGGTATCGTAATGAGCAAACTTTTTAATGATGTATAAAGCAATGAAATTGATAGCTATTCACAGTTATTTTACCTACTAAAGTTAAGTTTCCAATAAAAATTTACATTTAGAAGGGTGAAAGTACAAATGCGGTCGCTGATGGTTGATTCTAAAACTATTTTGATTCTAAAATAATCACGTCTCAGTAATCTTGCTAACGATAAGATTATAATCAATATTTCGTTATTGAAATGCCAAGTTTGACGCAGAAGACCAACAATTCGGGCATGTCAGTGTGAAACATTCCACACAACTGACCTATCAACGCACGTGAACTCCCCTCTGTGGTACCCGTAACTCGGCACCCGCACGTTCAAATGTCTAAACCGTTACGTATCCATGGCAACCGGCTTCAACAAAGTCCTGACACAACAATATCTCGGCTTCAATAATCATCAATTATAATCTAATTGTCAGGCGGTATCCGTATGAGCGCCACTGTTTGAAGTTCTCTTTTTTTTTTAATAGACGACGGTATTATGGGGCGCAAAGTTCACGCAAAGAACAGCAAACTAACTACGAGTACTAAGGTCATTTTATGGATCTGAAATATCTTCCCTACCATTTGATATCATAGTTAGTATCATTTCAAACTCTTGCATTTAAGGAAGAAACGATACGATAAAAGACAAGGAACAAAAAACGTGATTACAACAACTAAGAAATACAATGTATTGTAAAATATATTTTTGTATTCCTCAATTTTACTTCACTTAACTTTTTCATGGGCATGAATTGTTGTCTCTGCGTGTGTGTGTGTCTATCCGTGTATGTGTGTGTTTCCGTATAATGTGGTTTCTGTATGTTCTGCCAGAGGGCGCTTATCTGGTTCAAGATTCTACAAACGTATCAGGCCAACTAACTCCTATACCACAGTTAGCGTCGGCCCTTATTTGAAATTCTCCCTAACTCTACAACCCAGCTAGAGATCGTCCCGGATTCTACTATTGTGAACGCCAGTTGTGAAACAGTTCTAACAGTGTGTCGTTTCTTTGCGGGAATATAGATCAGCATTGTGGAAATGTAATGATAAAATGGACAAGCAAACAAGAGCTACAAGTCCTAAAATCGCAGATAAAAGTTGTTTTGTTTTGTTTTATATAACTTTTATTACAAGGAGATGGTAGGACAGCGACGTTTGGCGATGCAAGTAAGAACTGCAAGCACGTTGAGTTGAATGTTTTATCATGTTGTCAGCAAATAACGTACAAGCAATAACTTTTTTATAACCTAATTACCTTCGCCAAGAAGGTTATGTTTTCAGGGGCGTTCGTGTATGTGTGTGTGTGTCTGTCTGTCTGTCAACACGATAACTTGAGAAGGCCTTGATGGATTGTCTTGATACTTGGTAGGTGGGTAGGTCTTGATGAGACCTCAAAATGATTAGATTTTGGGCCCCCTAGCGGCTTGTTATGGTACTGCAGCTGAACTTCCGGTTTTGATATCTCATGATCTAGACATGCTATGGTGATGAAATTTGGGTGGTAGGTAGCTCTCGTGCTGGGGAAAAAGTGATGTGAGTTTGGGCCCCCTAGCGGCTTGCTCTGGAACTGCAGGGATATATTCTTGAAAATATTCAAAAGGGGATAACGCAAGAACCGGTTGACGGATCGTCGTAATTTTTGGTATGTAGGTAGCTTACGTGATGTTTAATATAAGTATATGACAATTATGCAAATATGAATGTAATTTGCATAATTTATGGGAAAATTCTATAAATCAGCTGCATTCCATGATAGGACAATTGAAGCTTGTGACATCGGTAATTGACAACGAGAGAAACACAGGAAGATATTGATTATGTTAATAATGACTTAATTTGCATAATTAATGAGAAAATTTTATAATTATGTAATGATAACTGTCTGGAATTTCATACTTGTGGTATTTGAAAGTTTAGTTGAGGTGAACATCATTAAACATAATTTATTCAAATCAGGACCTCATTTGCATAATTTATTACGAAATGCTAGAATGCATTGTTTATTAATCTAAGGTTGTCTTTTGGTTGAGATTATGATAAAATGATATAATTCATGAAAATTAGGTTCCTATTTCTTAAATCAGGGGGAATAATCTAATCTATAATTTCAGTCATAAAGATTAACATCATTTGACGAAGGTATGAGATCGGGGAACTCTAGTTTCGTTTGTACAACACCGAGAGAGTCAAACTTTATAGAATAACATCGTCATGTTTTCCTTCTTCACACACCTAAGTAATACGGACAGGTTCTCATTTATAATGAGCTTGGACAAACCTCTGATCCTAAAACATATCTTTTCACCATCACAGAGAAGCGAGGAGAAGTCGAAACTACTTAATAGACTATAGCGATAATTATAGCTTGATCATATACGTGTATATACAAGTCATTTCTTTTGCATGCTATGACCTGAGTGGGGAAGACAAAAAAGACGAGCATTTTCTATGGTAGAAGTGCTTTTAGCTATTTGCAACATGCATTAATGTGTTGTCCAGGGAAACCTAATCTATTTTTTTGGACGAGTTCTAAAGTAATTGGCCAATGATGATATGTGGTCTATTTTCCCCCTCAAAGGTTTTCCAATGACTGGTTCATCGTGTTTGACTTTGGAACGGAGTACACGATGAACAGCTTCGCCATCACTAACTTTGGAGACACCGATCACGACATCAAGGCCTTCACACTAGCGGTAAGAATCCATGTACTTAATGTGGGATATCCTTCTTGGTAGTGGCCACAATGGCTTCAATTTCAAGTGTACGTATGCACATTGAACCTGATGCATATTTCCCTCTTATGAGCTCTGACTAAGTTTAGTGTATTGGATCAGACCATGGATTAACTTTTAAGTGAGACCACAAGTATCATAGCTTTATCATGATGTTCACGTGTTGCTCTGCATATTTGAATAAACATTATGGCTACCTTATACTACCATGAACCGTGATGGGGGCCGACATTGTCTACCAGATACCTTTGACCCAGTGTTGACGTCACACTTCAAAGAAGCCACGTGACAAGCTTCACTGGGTCAGTCTACTGAGGAAGACCAGAGTGACTGGGTCGAAAGCTCTAGGTGAGAGAATTTTTTGTGTTGGACCAAAAGTTTTAACTTTAAACATATGGCTACCTTTCTGTTCTACCGCAGGTCAATCCAACTAACGACGGGAAGACGTGGATCGTGGTCCTGTCGGTGGAGGAAGTACAGGGAGGAACAGATGCGCCCCAGGTGTTTGCTGGTTTCCTAGCAACAAGTCAACAATGGCGGTTCATGATCACATAGACCTACGGAGGCTACAGCCCTTATCTTGTTGATGTGTCCTTCAACGGAGTGGACGGTTAGGAACGCTTGTATACTCGACTTGTAGTCATTTTTACTCTTTGCTCTTTGAGTCTTTGTCGGGATTGTCGGTGCTAGGAAAGAATGAATTCTTTAACACCTCAATCCTTGGTTGGCACCCGATCATAAGAACCGGCTGTTCTAAGAAATACAGGGCGGCAATACAGAACAGCCTCTGGCTGGCCGGAGCACCCCAAAACCGACCGGTTGAGTGTGGTCATACACGGGATGGTTATCTATGATCTATGATGTTTATTTATTTGTTCATTAGTTCAGCTTCCAAAAGCCAGGGTTTCCCAACTTAGTCGTACTATGCTATTGTTAAGGGTCAACCCTGGGAGAAAATAGATCTACAATGTTCTATACATAATTACTGCCGATCATCTTCAGATGGATATTGCCCGACATTTATCTTACAGCATGTTACAGCAGGTAGATAGGTAGATAGGTAAGTATACAGTATCTCATATTATGTTTTGCCATGTGCAATGTATTCTATATGTGTATACTCTTTAGTCAATTTCATTTTGCATTTTCCTTACAGGTAACAATAGTCAACACCGTATAGAAAGGAACGAGTGAACCCCAGACTTTTGGAGGTTTTATTGGGTCCAGTCGCTTCTGGCGTATTGTCGTCACTCAGACGGTGACGGGTACAGCTCCACGTGTGACCAGCATCAAGTTCGAAGGCACAGAGGGTGGGTCTTCTCACTCTGAATCACTGTAAACTAGTTAAGGCTAGGCATTTGTCTGTCTGTCTGTCTGTGAACTGCATAACTCAAGAAGCTTTATATTCATAATGTCATGAAACTTGGTAGGTAAGTGGGTAGGTCTTGATGAGACCTAGAAATGATTAGATTTTGGGCCCTCTGGCAGCTTTTGTTGGTACTGCAGCAGAACTTCTGGTTTTGATTCTCATGATCTGGACATGCTAGGGTCACGAATTTTGGATCATAGTAGATAGGTCTTGTGCTACATGTAGCTCACATGAGTTTGGGCCTAATTTGCATAATTAGTGTGAAATTGCTATTTTATATTTTGCCGGAAATTTTATACTTGCCGTACTCGGAAGTTAAGTGAAGGTGAACATAATTTAGCATAATTTATGCAAATCTAATCAATTAAAGCTTACTAAATAAAATAGAGATTGGCGTTGAAAGAAATGGGTTTTACTTGACCTGTACTATATTTCTGGCAGAAATACATCAAGAGCACTCTGAGAGCATTTGAATGCTTTTTAATCACCTTTATTGCTAATTAGCAAATATCAATAACAAACCGTATATAAATATGTGTATTATGTACATTTTGCATCTACTGACATGTTTCATACTGACTGTATAGTCATAACATATTTAACATTTACATTATGTTGATTCAAAGTCAGGTACAACAGTATCATACCACATCTAGTTAAGGTTATAGAGATCATTTACTTTCTGCAATTTCCCACACGAGGTCAACATTTCATATGGTTCCTGAGCAGTTTTATTTATCAATTCAGTCAATTTCTATAATGGCAAGACTGCCTGCCCTACCCCGCTTTAACGGAGCCACGTTTTGTCCTTTAGCGGGCTGGCCTGTTGGCATGTTCTGGTCACTCCCAGAAGCCGCCCCGGTACCGCCCCGCTGGTTTAGAGGAATTTGTTCCTCCTGTGGGTTCACACGGTTTCCCCGTACTATGATGAACAGTGCCTGGTAGATTATTGTCATGTCTCCGCGGAGGCTCTTTCGTAAGTCCGGTGTGCGGATGATGCTTGCGATTGGATTGATCACCGAGTTAAAAGACATCAGCAATGGTCCCGACAAAGATATTCCGTTAGAAAATGGGCACTTCTCCCTAGCCGTAAGGCAGGCTGGGATAAGTATAAGGGGTAAGAGCCAAAAGATAAAGGCCGCTACTACCTGAATCATAACAGTCCTGGCTTTGTGCACACTGCTTTGGTATTTTCTTTCTGCTGCATCGTTAGCCTGATTTTGCGATGCTCTGTTTTGTCCCTGTGGCTGCCCAAGCCTTCTCTTTTGCCGTTCTCTGATGGCCAAGAATACACTTGTATTCGTGAACAGCATGACACAGAGAAGCAAGACCATTGTGGTGACTTTAAGAGCAACAATCGGTAGGGGGGAAAAGTTGAAACACTTTAAATCGGGCATATCTAAACAGTTCAAACCCATACTGGGCAGAAAACCTAACATTGTCTGAACAAGCCACGAAGTAACAATAGCCACACTTGCGTCGCGTTTGCCATTGTGAGCATGGGTGTGGAAGAATATAGGATGCCTTATAGCAACATAAGAGCTTATAGACAGTAGACAAAGTGCTGATGCAGACATAATCTGACTATACACTAGGAAAGTATCAATATTCATCATGAAATACAGTCTGCTCAATCCTACTCTGTCTACAGCTTGACACCGTACGATGAGTCCAATACCTGCTAGCATGTCTGCCACGGCAAGGTTTGCCATGAACATGTAGATCTGTTTGCGGAGCTCTGGTGTTCGGATGATTCCCCAAAGTACGACAGCGTTTGAGATGATGATATGAAGTCCCGTCAGCCAAAAAACGACAGTAAGTCCTGTTCCCAACTCTACAAAGTTCATGTACATGGAGCAGGCGTCCTGAGCTTGGTCGTAGGATGACTTGTTCTGTAAGTGCCGCAGGAAGCAGGGAAGCTGCCCGTTGATGTCACCTTCTGGTGTCACGCCGGTCACGGGCGATGAAAGAGAGCTGTTGTTGAACATGGTTGACTTTGATGTGGACAGAATTCAGCCGGACAGGGGATGCAGTGAGCGGCGGCCGTCTGCGGTGGAGTCGGCAGCCAGAATGAAGCAAAAGACTACCAATAGGGCTGTCAATGAAACTTGCGTGCGCCGGAAAAAATGCCAAACCACAAGTCAGTTATGGGATTTCTTTTGATTACCAAGGATAACAACTCACAGGCAGGTGTGCAATTAAGTGACAGGAATTCGTGGTGACGTTATCAGACAGAATCCTAACACACACAGTATGAAAAGCGCATTCCTCGGTGCCCAAAACTCGTTTATTGCCATGGCGTATATACGTATGGAATTTTCAATGAAAGTTTATTGCAAATACATGCCCGAGGGCTAATTGCAGTTACGAACAACATAGAAAGAAAATACAGTGGTATGTGAGACTATATCTACTTCTAACATGATACTATATTCTACAACATGACATGACACTAGTTTTACTGGGTTTGACTTCTTCTTTTTAGGCAATGGAAGACGAATTTACCCACTTCTTCTATAATATGTGGGTTCTTTGGTTCTTTCAATTATAAAATTCACTTATCACGTGGCCATCTAAAATTGCACGGTCCGTCCGCAATTTACATTCTTATCAGATCATAGCAAATCCATTTAATCCCCAAACCGGCGCAATACAATACTGAGCATTAAAGTTCACCTGCCACAGCTAAGTAGTATTTACTTGTATTCCTTTATTCCTTTATTACGATACCCTTTAGCCAAAACTGGCTAGTCTTCCAGGGTTCATACAAAGATCATACAATACAAACAACAGATGACATAGTTAAAAATACACATATGACATAAAGAGGAAATTTACATTATTACATTATGTACAAATGAAAGATACCTAATTCACACTCTAATCACAGGACTCATATTGTGTGAACTTGTAGATGCAGCTGCCAATGTATTAGCTGTACAGTACATGTATTGAAGTGGTATACTGACGGGCTGACACTGACACGAACAACATACAAACTTATCATAACATTGCCGAAATAAAGCAAGACACTGAGTTTTATTGATTACCAAGAGGATCGACTGTCAAGTCAACCTATGCTAGAAAAAATGCCAAGCGGCAATTCACTTGATGTGATTTGTTCCCAAGGACAACAACAGAGGCAACAGATTTGCAATTAAGTGACAGGAATTCGTTGTGACGTTTATCAGGCAGAAGCAGTACAAAGAAAGACGCATTCTTCGGCCCCCAAACCTCGTTTATTGCCATGGCGTGTGGAATTTTCAATTATAAAATTCAATCAACACATGGCCATCAAAAATGCATGTTCCGTACGTACATGCGTCATTTACATTCTTATCATGCATTTAACCCCTCAATTGGCACAATACATTACTGAGCATTAAAGTTTTACCTGTCATAGCTATAAGGACTATTTACTTGACTCATGCAACTGCCGATGTTTGAAGTAGTATAAAGAAGTAGAATGCCATTAAAAAAACTGTAAGTCTGACCTAACGCCATTTTGAAAGGTCTTTACTTTTCATCATTTACCTATTTGCATAATACATGTTTGTTAAGATAAGATAAGATTGTCATTAGGTGGAGAGTATGATCAACGTTAACGTACATCAGATAGTTAAAGCAAATACTCTTATTTGCAAAAGTAATGAAAAAATATGTAAAAATTCGTCAGTCGGAAGGGTCAAGATCATTTGGCGAAGGTATGAGGTAGTGGAACTCTAAGACTTGTTAGCACTAGTATTATTTACTGTCTTGGGGTGGTGGGACTTCGGCGCACTGTTATGTCAACTCTGTGTATTTATATGTTAATTGTATTTTGTTGTATGGCGCTGTTGAAATAAGCTATAAACTTGACTTTTTGTTTCGTGTTGAAACGTGTTGCGTGTTGAAAAAAAATTACGTAGCAAAATTCTCGATCAGTTCAGTAGTTTTCAATTACCTTTTAACTGTGCTGCTCCTAGATCGAAAATTAGTCTGAAAAACAATTTCATTCACACTGCGTCACACTTATATTAGCACAGGAATAGTCGAATCGTGATTTTATCAGCATATTCATACACACACTTGTTGTTGTAGACCGCATACTTGTTAGTGCAGTACAAAATGTACGAGCAAGCCGAGCCGGTCTGCATCGGCCTCGCAGGGTCCGGCAGCGGACATACCGGCGGACTGCCGTCCGAATCAACTACTGATCATCAGGAGGGTTCAAGCAAAGGTGCCGGCCATGGTAACGACGACGTTTCGCGCGAGAATCGAGAAGTGGCAACGGAAGCGTCTTCAGCCACGTACGAAGACGCCGAGGCGGTGAAACTACAGGTGCCCCGGCTGAGGCAAGCCAAGCGGGCTGAGGGCAAGTCTCCGCTGGACGGAACTGGCCCTGAAACCACGAGGCGCCTCGCCAACTCGCGTTACACAACGGACACGTCAGCAGGTAGTTTCCTTTCTATACCTTACCTCCTTTTTCAAGTCAATGCCTGAATTTTTGCCAAAGTTTTCTGTAACCGTATACTAGTAGTATATGTCATCACTTTTGTAGCTCCTGTTACGCATCGGCCAGGACCTTCCCACAACTTCGCTTCCGACGATTCCCCAACCAATTTCAGTGCTGGAATCAGTCCTTCTCTAGCTCCAGTTCATGCCACTGATCACATCACAGATCAATGTCACTTTGCCAACTTTGATTGTTCAAAATTCACGTCACAGTAGGTGGCGCAGACGAGTTTTGAAGGCTAGTCGGTAATTAACCTCGCCGACCAACTTCCAGCCACAGATGACCTTGCTCATGACAAACCCCCGACCATGGTCTTGAGAAGGCTATGTTTGACAGGGTCTATTCACTCTGAGCAGCATCATATTGTAACGTAATGACATTAAGGTCAACGGTTGTATCAACATTTTTTTACATACATTGACACAGCTTGAACAGTCTGTATGCACCAACACCAATACAAACAGCAACCTTTGGATGACAATCTCCAGAATATTTTCTATATGTCTGGATAGCAGCTAGCGCCTTTGAAGTTTGTTAGTTTCAATCCGGTCCCAACGACCCCTAGTTGTCTACTCTGCCAACATGTTGTCAGAAGTGATACCGGCTAATTTTTGGCGACGTCTCAGGGAGGAGCCTTACGTTATAGTATTGTGTGCAGTTTGCAAGAATTCTAGGAATGGTACAGGCATTTTGTCCACAGGAATGGAATGTCCACAGGCATATCTCTGACCCACATCTATGCCCACATTCCTGGAAACCCTTGGGAAGGCCTCTCTGCCCCGGATGGCCCTATTTTCCCTGACCCCGGGCTCGTTCACTATACACTCAGGGAGGAGTGCGCTGTATCTGTCTAGACTTAACAGGTAAAAGTCTTCATCAAAATCATGAAATGATGGCAGTGCCATGCAAACGATAACCCTAACAGCAACCACCGTCGCCATGACAATATATGTTTTCATTGCCAGTCTTATTCCAGTTTCGCAGTCTAAATTTCACATTCAAATACTCTTTAGTAGACAGAGCGAACCCTAGAGAAGCCAGCGAGCGCCGCCGTGCGATCCGAACCTTCATCTGCACCCACTGGCGCTTCTGCATGTCCGCCGCTTTTGTTGTGGTGTCAACCCTGGCTATTGTGGGACTGGCCCAGACGATGTTCAATCACAAAGCGGTAAATACTGTTTCTTTTTACTGCAAATTAAATCGTGTTGGTATCATTGCTGCTGTTTTTCTTCTTATGTTGCCCCCCCCCCCAAAAAAAATAAAATTGGCCATTTCATAATTTTCCCAGAAAAAGGTATTGGTCAGACTTCAAAACTTCTTCTAAAATTTTCTTTCATCCTTTTTCATGGCCAATAACGTACAAGACAGAATCAAAAGTATTTCACAGACTTAGTGTTCTAAAACACGTCTTTAATCTTTACATGTATAAATGCATTGCAACATTATTCCATTATACTAGTAGTTTCAATAGCTGTATTTTTTTAGATTCAAAGCATGAATACCGGTTTCATGTATAAATCATAATATCTAAAGAGAAAAGCAGACATTTGCTCGGGAACAAAATTCATCATATTCTAGTCCATATCCGTCCTCAGTCCGAAATGTACTGTTTCATATCATCAACCTTTTCCATATGCGGTGCTCTTAAATATGTTTTTATGTAGTCCTCAATAACCATACAGTGCCTTTTGGTACAATATTCCCGATACCCCCATACAGTGCTTTCAATCTGAATGAATGAATCTTTATTGCATATTCCTGCCCAAAAGGGTTAAATGCACAAGTGACCAGGTATGGTCCAGAGCATATGAAACATGGAGTATTGAATAATGATACATTCTAATGCTAAGTGCTAATAGTCTATACATGTATATTACAATGGTTATATACTACTTCCATTTAAGGTGTTTTCGAAACCACAATGTAGTACTCAAAATCCCCATATACTGCCTTTCAGTAAAAGTGTTCTCACAATCCCAAAACAATGCTTTCAATGATCACTCCGTCATTAGTACAAATTTCCGCACTTTTGCAGGATCCACACCAACCTGTATCTGCTTGAAGATTCCCTACCCACACAACCCTGTATCTGCTTGTATATTGCAAATTTCAGCTCATTTGGCCCATAAGGCTCATGGAATAATAGAGTATTAAAGTTTCCCAAGAACTGATTAAATCGATATCAAAATTGTCTTTTTCCTGTCCTTTCTTCCTTTCTTACATTTCTGCATGCTGTCGTCTTCAGGAAATGGCTACTGCTGTTGACGCCCTGAAACGTGAGTTGGACGGCCAGTGGAACCGAAGTGCCGAACTGGAGCAGCGTCTTCATGAGATAAGCAAGGCGGCATGCGCAGGTAATTAAGCTTTTAACAGTCGAATTTAAGATCATCTTGAACAACTTCCCAAAAACTGGAATCTTGAATCTATCATTGGCTGAAGGTATTTAAGATATATTTAAACTAAAGGAGATCATTTTTACTACTTCTTAAGGGCCACCTGGACTTCCGGAAGAAAAAGGACCCATGGGGCCGGCTGGAGAAAAAGGACCCATGGGGCCGGCTGGTCCTAATGGAATGGATGGTCAGGCGGGAGTCCCAGGACCACCTGGGCCTTTTGGGCCGCCTGGACCGCGTGGTTCCCCCGGTCCGCCCGGACCAAAAGGTTCCCCTGGGCCGCCGGGACCACGAGGTTCTGCACGGTTCACCAGCAGCAGGCGACGCAAGCGCTTTTATAGGGGTTAGGGTAAACACCAGCGAAAGTTGTGCGGCTGGATTTAAAACTTTCTGGCCAGCTCATTCTGATCAGTAAATCTCCAAGCAGACTAACAGCAGACCCCCCCCCCCCAAAAAAAAAGCCAAAGCGGCCTAAACCTCTGCTTGTAGAGTGCTGGTCGGTGACGTGTTTGTGAGCTCTTGATGTTTAGCTGGGAGAAAATCCTCTCAGGATTAGTCAATTCGCCACTATGTTCAGTAAGTTCAGATCTATATGATGTTGGAAGTTGTTTGATATATGAATTGACTTGCAGATGTTGGTGTTTATGCGACTTCAGTCAGAGACTAATAGCAGCTCAATATCATATGGTTATGATCTAATAATTCATTTTCGGCCACAATTGATGGTTCAGTTCTGTGCAGTGGTTCAGTTCTATGTAATGATTCAGTTCTATGTAATGGGTCAGCTCCGATAGTATGTAATGTCTTACTTGTATGCAATGGTTCAGTTCTATGTAATGGCTCATGTCTATGTAATGGTTCACTTCTATTACTTCTATTACTTCTATGTAAGGGTTTACTTCTTATTTAATAGTTCAGTTCTATGTTATGGTTCAGTTCTATGTAATGGTTCAGTTCCGTGTAATTGTTCACCTCTATGTAAGGATTCACTTCTATGTAACGGAGGACAGGAAGACACTGTGAGAGAGAGTCTTAGAGAGGTTCTGAGGAAGATTGACAAGGAAATATGTTGTGTAAATGTGTACATGCTTGTAAGAGATCAGTTAACTCTGAGGAGCAACATGTTTGATTATAAACGACCAGTATTTACAGATCATAAACAAAACGGCTACAGACTAATCGTGATTCTGTTTCCAAATATTTATACAAACACCTTATGCTGCTGTATATAAATCTACGACAATTTGAAGTACAACATACCACCAAAACGGGCGTGGCGCGTCATCCTAGTGGAATTTTACCCGCTCGTTCTTCCCTTTCATGCACACTCGCCATCTTGGAACAGCGTGTTTCACGCACAG